TATATTATTAGTTAATAAGCTCTATATAGTTAAAGCCTACTATAATTTATAAAATAATAAGTTTATATAGCTAGATTAACTATATATATATATAGTTAGAAGAGTATAAGAGCTAGCTTTATAGTTTTTACTACTATACGTACGCTCTAGAATACCTAGCTAGGTAAGTTAATTACGAGTAATACGGTCTCTATAAGCTATAAGAATAAAAGCGACGAGTAGAATAGGTTAGGTTAAATTTAGCTATCTAAAGATAAGAAGTTAAGAAAAGGCTCTAAGAGGCTCTATATATAGAGGTGCTAAGCGCTAAGACGCTAGATTAGGTTACGTAATAAGATTACGTAACCTAAGGTTATATAACCTAAGGTAAATCTCTAAACTAGACTATTATATTACTCTCTCTTATAGAAAGAGCTTGTCTCTAAGCTCTAAAATACGTCTTCTAGGTCTCTCTTCTTCTAAAACTTCTACGTTATACTCTTAACTATCTCTTTTAGCTTATAGTAAGTATATTTATATTAGTTTTAAACTAGAAGCGCTTTTATAGCTACTACCTTCTCTTTAGAGAGAAAGAGACTTATTTCTACGTTAGTAGAGTAGCTTTCTTACTAGCTCTCTTCTTAAATAATACTATAAGCTTAGTAGAGTCTTAAATTACTTAGTAGCGCCTTTACGTTACTCTTACGTCTTCTACTCTTATAGGTTTTAAATTCTCTACTATCTTCTCTAGAGTCTTCTCTTTTTTATACGCCTTAATTTAAGCATCTAATTATAATAGTAGCTTTAGCTTCTCTAGATATACTACGTAAAAGTCTCTTACCTTATAGAAAGTATTAATAAAGCCTATAGTATTATACTAGGTAGAGTTAGAATTATAAGTAACCTATATAGCGTAGTATTAAAGATAATTTTAATAAAGATAGCTATTTAGAATTTTATATATAGGCTATTCTAAATTACTATTAACTTTAATAGGTAGCTACTTAGGCTCTACCTACTCTAGTAATAGCTCTAAGGCTTTTCTTAACTAATTAGCGTAAAAGACGTTATATATACGTATATATATAGATAGCTAGAGCTAGAAGAAGTAACTCTTTATAGTAATAATTAGGTAAAAGCTATATATCTATTAATTAAGCTTTATACTAGACTAATTTATTAAAAAGCTATAAGGTTTAATATAGATAAGATTACCTATAGTAAAATTAGATTCTTAGTATTTTTTATTTACTTAGAGTATTTATCTAGCTTACGCTTTTATAATATTACTTTATATAATTTTAGTAGCTTTTTTTATAGCGTTATATTACTTCTTAGTAAAATTCTAAGCTTTTTAGCATAAGAGATACTTACGTAAAGTAGAGACTTTTATTATATACTTCTTCTAATTCTAGTAGTATACTAGCTAATATCTAAATTTAATTTTATACGCTATTAGTTCTATAGTTTTATATAGTAA